AATGGTTCACATTTAGTCTGTAATAAACGCCAAACGGTTCACATTTAGTCCACAGTAAACGCCAAATGATTCCTAACAAGTCTGTAGCAAACGTTAAATGGTTCGTAACTACTCTAGAGCAAACATCAATTATTCACAACTAGTTTCCAGTAAGCGTCAAATGGTTCACAATTAGTCTACAGCAAACTAAACGGTTCACCATGATGAATTGTTCATTTAAAAGTTATCCTTTATGTGATGAAAATTCAAAGCGAACATGAAGTTACGGGTTATAACAAACAAAATGTACATATCCCAGCAAGCCAACGAAGTAGTAAAAACATAACGAAAATCAATACGATGATCAAATGTTCAACTAACTGTCATATCAGGAGATTTGTTCAGGTTTTAAAAACATTTAACGATTTATTTCTTGAAATCCAATCTGTTCTTGACGTGAACCGAAACTCAGCTGTGATGAACTAGAACGAAGCTGTGTCATATATGTCAAAACGACACATCACATGATCACAACGTGAATTACATTGGCATTCTGATGTTAAGTGGAACTTCTCATATTAAAAAAGGAGCTGTGTGAATGTACCGGTTATCTCCTTGGTCTGTGTCATATTTTGTCACCCTTAGTGAAACGTAATTGGTTCTCAAACAAGCACGAAAGTATCACTGTTTACAAGATATCATTCGTCACCTAGTGTTTATTCTACGATTTAGAACGTCAATCGACCAGAAAAAGCATCAATATGATTAAATAGAAAAACAAATCAAAACACCATTGGTGCCGGCAGCCTCTGTAACCTAGCCGTTTGTCCATTATCAGTGTACGTCAGACACCACTTAAACTTCATAGCGTATCCATCCTGGAAAAGGGATTATTGTCACATAAATGACACGTATTCATAAAAAGCTGTCGCTGTAACTGGATCTACAAGTATGGTGGCTGATTTCTGCCATTTTTCATCCTTGCGTTCTGTTGCGAAGAAGAAAGTGCGAAGTCGCGAGCATGTGAAGTGAACATCGCATCGCATCGCATCGCATCGCAACGCAACGCAACGCAACGCAACGCAACGCGAAGATGTGAAGTGTACATTGAATCTTCGCACGGCACGGCACGGCACGGCACGGCACGGCACGGCACCGCACCGCACCGCACCGCACCGCACCGTATCACAACGTGAAAATGAGTGCGACGTAATGTTGCGTGTACACTAGGCCACGATTAGGCTACGATGGCCACGATTCGGATTTTTTTTGAAAATCGTAACTCATCTTGTAAAGCGTGAGAGATCGCAGATCCAAATCGTGGTGATCACAAGACATCTCCATGATCGTGAGGCATCTTGATAATCGTGGCAAAATATTAAACATGTTTAATATTTGGCCACGATCATGCCGATTTTTTTAGCTATCATTTCCGAACGTAGTACTGCGTAGTAGAGTGTCGGCATCCGAAAAATCGTATAAGAGCGTGAGAAAGCGTGAAAATCGCAATGGAGCGTGTCGGGATGATCGTCATACATCGTAATAACGAGTATGAGTTCCCAGTGTCCTACGATTCTACCAAGATCTACTGCGATTCTATAAAGATCTATTACGATTTTATTAAGATATCCTGCGCTGTGTCACGTTGTACACAATCTATCTCGATATAATACGATTCAATGAATTTCTATGAACTTATTAACACGCTGCACCACGAATAACTTCCACGATCTATCTCGACCCGTCACGATCTATTACGCTCCTTTGTGCTGCGACACGTTCTTCTGCGTTTGGTGTGCTTTCCTATAAATTGTGTCACGCTGCCAGACGAAATTCATTGTGATCCAACTGCAAGCCATATCACACTATTTTATCACCATTTTCATTGTAGAATATAGGAGATGGGATCGAAATAGGTAAAGGGCAAAGGAAAGGGCTCTAAAGTAACTCATGATGTCCGAAAATCGTGTCACAATCGTGTTTAATCGCCCTTCTTTGTCTAACCAAAAGGTAACAAAATGTAGCAGATCGTTATGAACGTCTCAAAACGTAAGAAATCGCAACAGATCGAATACTCAAATCGTCATGATCGTAAAAAAGTCGCTACAGATCGTCAAATATTCGCAACAGATCTCCATTGAAGTGTAACTGATCTGATACCCAATCGTAAGAATGCGTAACGGATCCAATCAGAGCGTATGAAACCGTGAAAGAGCGTCAAGAAAGGGGAAAATAAATGTTCGACGATCATGAAGATCTACTACGATATTTGGTTCGCGTCGGGTCGGCATAATCGTGGCGTAATCGTGGCCTAGTGTAAACGCAGCATAACGAAGATGTGAAGTGAACAGAACGCGGAGATGTGAAATGACTGAAAGAGTTACCACAACAAAGAGTCCAGACTCCCTCGGGGTAACTGTTATGATCATGTTTCATGTCTATGTATGTAATGCTGTGATAATTTTACTGTAATTCATATCTCAATAAATAAAAACTTCGTTCTATCACTGCTACACACCATTAACTTAATAAACTGAATTTACTTGGATTATGTGCTTGCAAACAGATACAGTATGTCAATCTAAATGGATATTTACACTTAGGATCTAATTTAGTTGGTGTTTAAACTGTTAAACGGTATTTCTGTTATTGCACAACGCGAGGTTTGTTGGTTGGCTCTTTGGTGAACGCCGCAATCAGCAATGAATCCGGTACATGACGGCGGTATGTAGATGTATGTTCGAGTCTGGATCAGACAAACCAAAGATTGACATGGTCAAGAAAAACCACAGCGTTGGGTAGTTTGACTGACACCCTATAAGCAGCGTGCGAAATAGCCACTGGCCCGCTTGCCCGTGGCTAGTAAAAATATGATCGGGCCAGTAAATCTCCACAGTCACTGGCCCGACTGGCTAGTGAATTTTCATGGGGTCATTTTGTAAATATATCACTAGTTCCGACTTGTTAAGTTATAACACACTTTTAAATCATGCACGATTATGGCCTGATAAAAATGTTCATAATATCAGCAGCTTAATGATGAAACCCGTATCTACATTCACATTTCGAACTAGTAAATTATCTTGTGGGCTAGTAACTTTCAGGCATAGCTAGCCCGACTGGCTAGCAAAATTTGGAAACTATTTCGCACACTGCCTATAAGTCAAGCCATCGAGTTTGACCTACTCTCACACGGCGTCAGTCAACGGGGCCGGGTATCTTAATACTGGAAGAAAGAGCTGCCGCAAATAGTATACGTGGCGTGAAACTCACTAGAAAAAGTCAAAATATCATATTCGAATTTGGGATTAGAACCCCGTAATCATTTGAAACTGGTTAAAGAGGGTCACAACTCAAGACGACTAGACAGACAGTGCCTTTCAGATGTCATCATGTATGTATATGTGTGTATGTATGTATGTATGCCTGTATGTATGCCGTAATTCAACTGCCTGTCTGTCTCTCTCATGCTCTCTCTGTATGTCTCGCTCTCTCACACACACATATATATGCACACCAAACACACAAAACACACACACGAAACACACACAACACAACACACACACGCTATCACCTTTAACATCTGTCAAATAAGAATCTGGGAGGAAACATTACTGATCTGACACATCACATGTGATTTCATTTGTTTCTTATTGTATCAAATATTGTCGCTGGTCGCTGGCCCGACCTACACTATTACTGACATGCTGTTTTGACATAGCTGAAACATTGCTGATTGATTGAGGCGAAACCACGATTCAGTCAGTCACTCCAAAAATGCCCACTGCCAGCTATCAGGACCACTTGAAGATGGAACCACCCACGGAACCAATATTGCATTTATCAACATGTTGGTCATGTCGAGCATACTTCTTGTTCTGCTTTCTGTCGCATCATTATTGGAATAAATCAGGCTTGTCAGCCGTTTTTCAAATTAAATTTCCAAGAAAAATCCACACCATTTAAACTATTTCGTCATTAAATCACCAGCGAGCGGAATCCTGCCGACCAACGCTTCCCTTTTTGAATTGTCAAACATGTGTATATTTTGCATGCACAATAAATATATTTATCGGGTGTTTTTAGATAAATTGTATCAATTACATGTCTACGGAGAGCAAGGATGCAACAGATGAACGAGTTACTCAAAACATGGTATCGATAATATGATAAATCATGAAACCATTACACTAAAATGTGATGCAAGCTAATGTTCACATACATGTCTGATGATGGTTCATACGAAAACAGTGACAGTGGGTAGCCTAGTGGTTAAAGTGTTCGCTCGTTACGCTGAAGACCCGGGTTCAATTCCCCACATGGGTACAATGTGTGAAGCCCATTCTGCTTTCCCCCGCCGTGATATTGCTGGAATATTGCTAAAAGCGGCGTAAAATTAAACTCACTCACTCATACGAAAACAAACAAGAAATTGTTATTTAATGGCGATGTATTTGATACATATTTTTATTTAGGACCTTGTATAGCCGGCTGTATTCAGCTGAGTAGTAAGTGAGTGAGTGAGTTTTACACCGCTTTTTTACCGTAGACCGTAGATTACATCGTAGAAAACGATTTTCATATTCTCGACAGTGACCAACAACAATGGAGTAATGATATAAGTTCATCAAGTACCTTGCAGATTTCTTTTTATAGTTTAGTAACAATTAAATTAAAACATAGAAAAACATGTCATGTTCGGGCTAATGAAATCATGTGTTTTAATAGTTAAATATCTCTACAAATGTTTTAATACACATGATTGTTTAAATGCATTTTTGTTCAAAAATTAAACTGGAAAATACATAATGTATTATGTTATAGATCGAATTGTTATTTAGGCAATATTTCGAATCTGACTGAAAGTTTATTAAACGTCTATCGAGTGTGCCAGTTCGTTGAAGTTTGCTTTAATATAACATCCGCAGAGGATACCAGATTCAGTTCTCTTTCCTCAACAACCTGTAGAGAACAAGTCAGACTCTAAACACAGCATCACTCGGGCTGTTATGAAGCCACTCATTACATCAAGGATGGTTTGTAAGAATCGCTTGAACATGCCAGAAGAGTCCGAGATTGGCTGGTTGTGTGAAGCTCTGACCTGACCTGGTTCCCGGAGTGGAGTATTACCCCCCTTCCTCCCTCCGCCTTCACCGTCACGAGGTGAACATCATCACACACAGACGCGAAGGCTCTACTTAAACAGCGCATCGCGCTACGGGGAACTATAGTTTCTCTTTCCCGTGCGGGGTCTATGAATATGCGGGTAACGACTACACGATACGGGGCGATGGATGGAAGGGTAGTCATACTAGTCGCTGCCCTTATTGCTTTAACACACCCGGCCACACCTATACCCGTGGGGGAAAAGGTAAGAATATTCTTCCTTCATCTTTACAGCCAAAATATCTGTTGCAATTGTATATTTCGTTAATTGTGTATTAATGTTTCGTATTTCTAATAGTTCATAATATTAAGATAGTTATAACTGATCCTATGCGTACAGAGGTATATTGATTAAGACACGTGGCTGTGTTGGAATATGATATGGACGCAGATGAGTTAATGTTCTTGTATTAAGACGTTGTTTGTGAAATACCTTATTCATATATTCATCGCTATCTCTACAAATAGCTTTTCCGTATAGAGTAACTTATAGGCACGTGACTGTTATTCATTACTAGTCTTGTACATGTGTTAAACTAGCTGTGTTGTTGACATGTTCCTCATTCAAGTAATGGCAATTTGATGATGCGTGTCAATACCGCAAGATTGAGCTCTCATGAAACAAACACGAAGTACAGGCTCAGAAATAATTACATTCACAGCTGATGACTTTAGCAGCATAGGGAATATTATTTGCGCTATTACGATAGAAAGAGAAACCTTTGCTGAAAAATGTTACCTCACGCAAACTAATCAAGGAAAGGACATCACATAATTTCACAGTTTCTGATTAAAGATCATTTTTCGCATGTGAATGATTGGACATCTGTTATTTCCATACGAAACCACTGCCACGTGTTTCTTGATTGGCATCTTCGTACTGTTACAGGATTAACGTTCTTACGTCAATCTCTGAATCTGAATCTGCTCTGAATCATCAACACAGATGCACGCATGTTGTATGAGATTAATGCTTAATCCCTGAAGCTGCATCGTTCCTTCAAGCATCGTGGCTCCTTGCCACGATGAAGGTCAAGTAATCAAATATTGCTGAACATCCATTTCCCTCTCTCCTTGTGCTAATTACCCGGGAGGGAGCGTGTCTGGTTGTGTTTTACTGCGTCCAAGCCTTGTATACATGTGTGGTGTATACAGACCACTGCAGCCGTCCTCCAAAACGTTTACACCTTTTCGGTCAGATTCCGCATTACTTGACTGATAGACTCACTATAGTCCAGGTTTAAAATACTTCTTTGAATTATTGACCAGTGAGTGAACAGTTCCACTTTGAAAGTGGTGTTTATTGTGTTTAAGCTACGGTGTTTATATACACGTTTAGCCAACAATTCTGTTACCGTAGTTACCATAATCTTGACCAGTTGCGATGGGGATGTGACTCTTTATGTTTGCTATGAATACGTTCCAGTGAATATAGATATTAGCTTTGCGATATCAGTCTGTTGGTGATCATGTAGTCTGTCTCACAGTCCCTGAACCACATTATTTTCCCTACTGCCAAGCCTCTCTGCAGTGCCAAAGCCCTAAATAAAGCAAGTCTAGATTTCCTCAGGTTCTGGTCTCCCTGGGGCTCCTTTTCAATTTAAGTGGGCTTGTTTGTTACTATCAAAATTATATATATTCTGAGACTAAGCATTAGTCTTGTGATCATGTTACCAGTATAGATATATGTAGAAATAAAAACGATTAATTTAGGTTAGGTTATTTCTAGAGTATCTCGCAGTCCCTGAACCATATTATTTTCTTTTTCGCCGAGTCAGGTAGATTTTACAAGGATTCAGAAATCTGTCATCTCGCTTTTATGTTTCAAATTATTTGGTTCCGTCCAGTCTCAAAGATTAGGCGATTATCTAAATTATTTCATGAATGTCGATTTTCAAGCGTTCATTTTCACCGTCTCGGTGGGGTAGCAGACAGAGCATCTGCCTGGAGCGTCTATCGGCGGTTCGAGCCCCAGGACACGTCATATAAAATACCTGTGAATCTACCTATATAGCACTCGGTATAAAGGATACAAAACAAGAATTGGTCGGCTCAAATTTGCATAATGTATCTGAGCATAGTATTCATATGAAACATAGGCATTGTATCTCAGTAGGCTGATACTACAAACGCACGTACGTACCTACGCACACACACATATACACGTGCGCAAGTAGCAATACTCGTGAACACGACGTTAATTCCACTTTCAGCTCACCTCAAGTCCTAATTAGATTTCAACCATTGTCCTTACAGATTACGTAGTGTGAATTCCAGCGGCTTTGTTACTTACGTCCCTACGCTCGACTAATTTAGTGACGGTTTGTGTTTAATAAGCTGGAATTTTACTGTTTTACAGTTATGCCAATAGTTTGTTAAAGGATCCTCTGATTTATTACATATTAATATCAACTCCTCAACTATTTTTGTGCGTTGGCTCTACACGCCGAAGACCCGGGTTCGATTCCCCACATGGGTACAATATGTGAAGCCCATTTCTGATGTCCCCCGCCGTGAAATTGCTGGAATATTGCTAAAAGCGGCGAAAAACCATACTCACTCACTCAACTATTTGTGTATTAATATGTGTTTGTTGTTTAATACTATATATATATATATGTAAGGACTGTTTGAGGAAAAATATATCTCTGTGGATATTGACAACTTCCTGTTTATGGTATTAATGGATTAGGGATTATATATTGCATGTTATCCATTAAGTTGTAGTTTCCTTATATACCACCAAGTTCTAGAATACCAATCAAACATTTAAATAGAGATTTCAAACCTTGAATTTTCTTATGAACACATCCACAAGTAAATGGAATAATCACAAGTATTGTTTGCGAAAAGATTGTGACACTCCGTTTCTCAGCGTGCTTCGGATCACTGACTACGTATCGAGTTATCCTAAGTTCGAGACATCAGAGTAGTTCCTAAACTGGTTTTGTTGTTAACGGGACATCGAGGTGAAGCAGATACTGGGTTTTACTATACATCAGTGAAGTACATTCATCTCGCTTACGCGTTTTTTGTTGATAAACGAGACTCACGTGTTCCCTTGTTTAGGACTGTACACATATCTCCGGAGCCTTGTTTAAATATTGCATATTTTACTGTTAACTAATTTATACCTCTACAGGCCCCACTGTATGCGTGGCCCATACGCAACAGCAGTTGTACCGTTATGTCGTTTTGAATGTCACATACAATGCATGGAACGGGAAGAGGTGTGTTTTCTTTGCCCAGACAAGCGACATTTAACACAGAACGATTCATGATATCGTTGAGTTGCAATAACATGCTCAAATATCGTGTTTGTTGTGTGTTAACACGTTTTGTCGATTGTATTTGTTAACGCATTCTTCAGAAACAAAATAAATGGAAAGTAAAATATTTGTTAAAACGTACAGAATGTGTACTGAGTGTAAATAGCCATTAAAACATTGACCGCTGTCACATTGTTGACACGCATTGCATAAGATTAGAGCATTAGATTAGAGAATTAGGACCATTAAAAGTCGGTCCGCTTTTAGCGACCGATTTCAATTATCAGACACCAGGTGTCTGGGTGATGTAACCTTTCACAATGGCCAGTTTTCATGGAATCTACGAGGCTAATGTGTTCAAACAACACATAACCTTTTTTATAAAGACTTAAAGGAACTCTGTTGTCTACTGTCATAGACTTCTATGTGGAATGTCTCACCTGGGACTTTTGTACGTCGGCACCTCTGTCGGATTGGGTGTGTGCTTGTGTGTGTGCTTGTGTGTGTGTGTGTGTGTGTGTGTGTGTGTGTGTGTGTGTGGAGGTGTGTGTGTGTGTGTTTTCGGGGAGGCAAACACATGCAAGGAATCTGACAAGCCAAACTAAGTGTGTTCACATCAGACAGGACAATTGAGATTATTTAACCATGTGCGTGTGCGTGTGTGTTCACATGTGTGTGTGTGGGTGCGTGTGTGTGTGTGTGCGTGCGTGCGTGCGTGCGTGCGTGTGTGCGTGCGTGCGTGCGTGCGTGTGTGTGTGCGTGTGTGTGTGCGTGCGCACCGCATTCACTCACCCTTGGATTCAAAGGTAATATATTTCCTTTATTACAGGTCTCAAAACTAATGGTATTGTATGGTCAACGTCAACATCTCACCCTGACGGCGTTGGTTGTTACTCATACTATTAACCACTTGTACAACTTACCCATGCTGGAATATGTGCAGCATGCCATCATATAGTTGGAATATTGATGTTTGCAACAACACTTCCTCGAATAGGCACTCACAAACACATTAAGTGCATTTGACGAGAGCATTGTACCCCAGTGATTTATTTGGAACTGTAGAATCTGTAGAATCAACGACACCTAATTGCCGAAGCACATGCTTTCCCACAGGAGGTAATTACCCAAGCCTCATATTGCCATAAGCCTTCAGAGGGCGACGTCGTGACACTGATGACGCTGTCGTTGACGGCTATCGACGTCGTTGTAGTTACCAGAACAGTGTAGGTGGTTGTTACCATCGGCGTTTCCGTCCGGAGACAGAAGCGAAAAGGCGAGGCATTTTGCATCACGTTTGTGATGTTCCGGCGCAATGAACCTCTGACAAGGGACATGAAAGACGGGAGTATTCACTCACTGGTAGGACGTTTACACATGATGAGTCGTTGTTGTTGACGTCTGAAGGCAGTCTCCAGTTACAATTCTGAGTGCGTGATTGTATGCGTGTGTGTCTGTCCGTCTATGTATTGACAGGGACGTATTTTTTATTGTCAATTCTTCGATACACAGAAAAAAGTCTTTGTAAAGAGGAATCGATCAATTTCAGCTTTATCTTTTAAATCAAATGATTGAAATGAAAATTATCAAAATGTGGCTGACAAGTTAACTTTTTTTCTCTTTCCTACATCAGTAAACGGGATATGATGAAGTTGATGAAGATTACGAACAGTAGTTAAAATAAATGATTTTCTTTAATTCCTTAGACATGGTGTAACATGCAGCAAGTCTGAGTGAGTGAGTTTAGTTTTACGCCGCTTTTAGCAATATTCCAGCAATATCACGGCGGGACACACCTGAAATGGCCTTCACACATTGTACCCATGAGGGGAATCGAACTCGGGTGTTGGGCGTGACGAGCGAACGCTTTAACCACTAGGCTACCCCTACCGCCCCCAGCAAGTCTGAGAGGCCCCTGCCAGATGTGGCACAATAT